TATCCTTTTTTCAAGAATTGTCTGTCTCAGGTAAGTAATACACTGATCTGCTCAATAAAGTGCTAAGTAATCGATGTCATGTCAATCTATACAGGGTTATCCAAATTAAGTGTCCACCATTGGTAACTTTGTTATTAGTAAAAATACAAAGTTGTTTAAATTAGCAAACTAGTAGCATTTTTAACGCTGGTAAAAATGAGAAATAAAAAAAAACAATTGAGAGTCGTTATTTTGATTTTTTTCAGTAAAATAACATTTTTTTAAATGGAAACCCCTGTATATTATATTTTTTTCTGTTAAAGCATCAAATTTTAAACAAAAAAGTTCATAATGACTTTTCCGCTAAAGTCAAAAATAAAGTCAAAATAACGATAAATATTTTTAATTATTTGCAGTATTATAATATTAAGACGGCTATGAAAACAACATGGCGTTCGCGATTTGACAGCATTAAGATAAGCGACAAATTGTTAAACTGGACATACTCGCAACTAGAAGGATTTGGAAAACAATGATAAAATCAAATAATGTCAAACATTAGTGTAAATACTTGTGTCATTAATTTAAAGAAAAATGTTCTCCCATGAAGAAAAGTGTGATATGTTAGAATGCTATTTAGTGTGCAGAAAATCCTCCTTGAGAGCAAGAGAATACTACAGTGAATTATATCCCGCTCGCATTCAACCGTATGAACGATATTTTCTGAGACTTTATCGAAAATTTAGGGGCAACGAAAATGTTTTTGCTAAAACAAGGGCAAAAAAAGAATTCATAATAAGCGAGGCCACGGAAATTGCAGTTATTGGATATTTTGAAGCTTATCGTGAGAATTCAATAGCAGATACTCTCAAGGACTCTAATTTCAGTTATGGTACTGTTCAAAGGATTTTAAAAAAATACAAATTTATTCCGTATAAGTACCGACCAGTTCAAACGCTTTTGGCAGGGGATCCAGAGAGAAGACTTGTCTTTTGCCATTGGTATCTTAGCTTCTGTCGCCAAAATGTAAATAACTTTCGTTACCTTTTATGGACAGATGAATCAAATTTTTCAAATTCTGGAATGTTTAATAGAAAAAACCACCATTATTGGTCAAGAGAAAATCTTTTGTTAGTACATCCAAGAGGCCCACAAGTCCGTTTCAGTTTCAACGTTTGGTGCGGTATAATTGGTTCAAAAATTGTTCTTTTATGAGGGAACCCTAACTGGTGAAAGATACGTGGAATTTATGTCAGAAATTCTGACTAATTCCTTAGACGAATTGGATCTTATAAGTAGACATCATCTGCATTTTCAGCAAGATGGCGTACCTGCCCACAACTCCAGAGGTACTTATCATTTTCTAAGTACTACTTTTAATGATCAGTGGATAGGAACAAATGGATACAGTGGCCTCCCAGATCACCAGATCTAAACCCACTTGATTACTTCTTGTGGGGTTACTTAAAGAACCAAATTTACAAGCGAAGGTACGATAACCTTGACGCGTTAAAGACTGCAGTTAGAGAAAAGATAACCCAGATAGATGGTAGGACCATACTTAAGACAGTTCGAGCAGTTGAAAAACGTGCCCAAAAATGTATTGAAGGACAAGGTGGTGTTTTCGAGCATCTTCTTTAAAAAAAATTGTTATTGTATTTTGTAAGATTATAAGTTGATGTTGAAAATAAAGTTTGTCGATACAATTTAATTGTTTCAGATTGGAGGCCATAACTTCAACAATTTGTAACCTAGGAGAAAAGTTATTGTAAGCTTTTTTGTTTAAAATTTGATGCTTTAACAGAAAAAAATATAATATACAGTGGTTTCCATTTAAAAAAATGTTATTTTACTGAAAAAAATCAAACTAACGACTCTCAATTGTTTTTTTTTATTTCTCATTTTTACCAGCGTTAAAAATGCTACTAGTTTGCTAATTCAAACAACTTTGTATTTTCACTAATAACAAAGTTACTAATGGTGGACACTTAATTTGGATAACCCTGTATATTATATCCGATTTGATTCACGAGATTTGGGCAGCGATTAACGGCTCCTCGATTGGCCAATTTTCGATGCGGTTTTACGAAAACGCATGCTAATTAATCATTGTTGATTCGGATCATAGGTTTTGATCTTCCGATCAACTAAAAAAATATGTTGCTGTATCTAAACCAGTTAACTTATAAAGAATTTATTGATTTAATATGGGTATTAGAGGCACTTCTTACACAAATCGTATACTTTTTCGCTCGTCTGATATATGTTTTACAAAAAATCGACTATACTCATTACATCTATTACTAAAAAGATGAATTCTGATTGGGCCATTATGATCCGGATCAATAATTTCATCTTCTGTTAGTAAAATAGGGCCTTATATCCCTAAGGAATACTTTATCACCGAGAAAATATAAAAAATGAAAATCCGTACACTACAGTTCCAAAGCTTCCCAAATTCTAAGCTTGAAACATGGAAATCACCTGCTGCTACCTTTGCAAATTTTGGGATGTGTAAATAAATATTTTACTTAAAAATTGTATCCTTAGGGGGAACCAGCCTTCCGTATAAACGCAACTGCGTTTAGCTGTTTTATTTACATATACAGGGTGTTCCTTAAAGATATGCGAATATTAAAGGGTGTGAATTTACATGAAAAATTAATGTTAGTTTGCTTTATAAACTATGGTCAAAAAATGTTTCCTTACAAAAACTCGGGTTGTTGAAGTTTTAGGAAAAAAAATGAAATTAATTAATATTTTCGGAACCGCTTCAGATATGTCACTGACATTTAGTACGTAGTTATAGTTGATAAAGTTGTATATTCTTCAATGGAAAACAGTGGCGTGCGTACGGGTATTGACGTCGATATTTTTTAATAAAAAAATGATACGCCAAATAAAAATCATTTTTGAATTCCCCGTTCGATTTAAAACAAATGATCTCACTCGAATTGTTTTCCTTCGATGCACCATTTTTGAGTAAAAAAATAAAAACCGTTCTATTGTCCGAGAAAAGTAATGTAATAATAATTGAAGAATGCAATTTAGCAATAAATATCTAGTTGCTCTGGAATATGTCATCTGACAAGTCCCTGTAATTCTAACCTGTTCGCCTTGACATCTTTTTCATTATTTAGTTTGTACAATCTTGTTAATAATGGTGAATTATTCAAATGCAGAAATGGCGGAAATGCATGGTGAGCAAGCCAGAGGGATTTATCACCAGAGATATCCCGATCGTGCTTTGCCCGATAGTCGAACCTTTTCTAATATTCATCGTCGTCTTGTTGAAACTGGTTCTGTCCGAAAAGGAACATCTGAAGGTATAACTCTAAGTGTGAGAACATCTGAAATTGAGGAAGCAGTTCTGCAGGAAGTCGAAGAACATCCTGAAACGAGTACGAGGAAGACCGCTAGACACTTAAATATTTGCGATCAAATTGTTTGGAGAATTTTAGTGGATTTTTCGTTATATCCTTACCATATTTTATACAGGGTGGCGCATCGAAAACGAAACAGACGCATTCACTAGCAGCTCATTTTTTTTTAAAACGCTCAGACTCGTCGATTTTGTTTTTGAGGGGGACACAAGTTTGGCAAAAAATCACGTTAGCACATGCAGCCCCCTAAGCGGGGGCGACATCACCCCCAAAATCTTAAATCGAAAGGGGGGTCGAGTGATACCTTATCTTAAAGGTCTTTCAATTCCCTTTATAATGATATAAAATTAATGTACTTCAGTTCAGTAGTTTTGAAGATTTATTGATTTAAAGCTTAAATAAAACTAATACATCATCATTAGTGGAGATCAATAGATTTGGCAGAAACGTAATTTAAAAATGAAGAATGGACTGAGCCGTTAGGCAAGTAAATGTTGAAAATGGCGGAAGCATGCATACTAAGTGAAGGAGGCCATTTTCAACCATTTTGGTAATCATTTCGTTGGTTTTAATGCTATGTTTATGCTGTCAGTTGTTGTTGTTCATTACCCCTAATGTGTTTAATTTTTCTAATTAGATTAATAATAATTTTGCAAGTTTCGGTTACGGTTACGGTGTTTATTTTTTTACTCCGAGTTTGTGTAAGGAAACATTTTTGGACCATAGTTTTATAGAGCCAACCAGTGGCGCAGCTAGAGCCTCGGAGGCCCTGGAGCGACAAGGAAATTCGGGGCCCCCTATATGAAATTTTTTTTTCGACTCTACCCCCAGAATTGCTTAAATAACGTTTGAATTTCCCGCACATATACGGATATCGAGCACTGTTCGACGCGATCAGCTGCTGATGTCTGTGTCAGACTCAGCAGTGTTACCAAGAGTCAAAGTTACTAGAATCAGAAATAAAATTTGTTGTACTCAAACGAAAAAATGTTATTTTGTAAACAATCTAATAAAACTACGAAAAAAATATATAGTATTTTCAGGGGCCTCTAAAGTCTTCGCCGAGGTAAGATTCTATCAGGGCCAAAAAAAGTCCCCCGACGAAAAAAAGGCCCCCGACGAAAAAAAGCCCCCCGACGAAAAAAAGGCCACCGACGTAAAGGGGCCCCTTTTCGTCGGAGGCCCTGGGGCACCGCCCCGCCTGTCCAATGCTAGCTACGGCGCTGGAGCCAACTAACATTCGTTTTTCATGTAGTGTAAGAAAAAATCTTACCACATACCTAGTTTACACATTCTTTGAATCGTTCAAGTCAATTCACAGTACAGTTCTCAAAAACACATAAATCATTGTTCCTTAAACCGTTCAAATAGGCTCTGTGTATTTTCATATTTTCAAATTATATACATTCACCAACTTTTATTAAAATAAAACCATTTTAACTGGGTGTGCGGATTTATATGTCACTTAGTATATTATATTTCAAGTTGTTTTTACACATCCAGTCAACTGTATTCATGGGATGATTTTAACACAGACTGAGTTGGTGTTCTCATGACAAAGCAAATTAACTGATGATTCAAAAAGAGAAGATGTATATGATAATCCACTAAAGAGCGATATAGTGTCATGTAGCTTACCAGATCTTGGAAAAGTGATGATAAAGGTATCATCCGGTCTGGTCTTGAAATTGAAATACTGATGTGCATCCTTTTCGTACCCGCTTGGGAAAAACCATTTCTTTGGACCAACTTGTACAAAACCAGTTCTTTCTCCTGGAAGAAAAAATAATAATCGTGGTCAGGCAGATTACTTATCAGTTATTCCTCAAATTTTATCTAACAGTTTCTAGTTTGCGTTGCATGAATACTTTAAAATTCGACAGTAGTGCAAAAATATTAATTTCGGTTATTAGGAGGCCTAACAAAATTTCTTTTGATACTTATTGACGTATTTGGAGAGGTTAGGATGCTAAAATTAGTACGTATAACAACTTTTGTCCCACTGCTACTGAATAAGTTTTTCTGAATCATACCTTTTGCATCATGCAAATCCGTGTGTCACTCTTCGATTTGTTTGTTGGAATTCATCTACCCTTGTTATGTCAGAAATAACTGAACCGAGATTGATGAAATGGCGTCTACTGCGACTTTTTCTTTTTTCTCAACTTGCTGAAGTAGACAAGCGTTCAAAATCTGATATGCACCATTTAACAAGTGTCTGACCAAGTCAGTATACCTGACAGCATTTTTAATATAGCCGAAATTGAGCGTTTTTGCACATGGATCCCTTATACCTCAATAACTAATTAATAAAACGCTCTAATAATATAATAATAAAAATAATTATCGTCCTTATTAAAACTGTACAATTAGATTAATCTTACACTTAATCGCCCATGCAAAAAGAACAAAAGTTGTTGAGTAGCAGATATCAAACAAAAAAATACATGTTGCACAAAAGTGATGTATACAAAGGAAGTAAAGAAAAAACATTTAACAACATAGACCAGAGCAACCTATTTAAACTATGGGTCCAAGCAGACATGAGATTTGGCAGATTTCTTGAGGCAATTTAAGGACATGTTTCTGAATTCAGGTCTCAAAGCATTGTATGAAACTGCAGCACTGTAGGTGAAATAATGCTGGAATAAGGCTGTAGAGTGAATAGGTGTAGTTATGAAATTTGTAAATTTAATAATATGTCCATCATGTATATTACGCCTGAAGATCAGCTTTTCTCTTACGTATATGTGTTTGGAAATATATACAGGGTGACTTTGAAGTTGAGTCATTAATTTTCAGATAATGATTGTAGAAGGAAGATAAACCAAAATATGTGTGTAAAAATAGAAAAAAATTAAAAAAAAATTTTTACCTTGTTTTATAAAGTATCCTCCCGACAAGTATTTCAGTGCGGACCTGTATTTGATCGTGAGGTCCCCTGTGAGGTCTTAAGTCACCTGATTCACGAGCCCGTTGTACTACATTAACAAAGGCACGAGGGGTTGGTTGCACTCGATTGGGAAACCGATCCGCATAAACATGTGCCATTTTTTATTTCACTATTCACACGCGACTGAAACTGACTGTATGTATAACTGAACTGAATTGTAATCGTAAAAACATCGTTCCAAATTCTTTCGCTTTTTTGTTTCCGATGCGATGAACCGTTGTTGCCAAACACGAACACATGATATTATTGAGACAGGGCGGTACTTAAACTTCCAAAGGGCTATAACTTTGTTACTTTAATTTTACCAGAAAAATGGTAAAGGAAAAAAACATTTCTTTTGATCAGATCTACACACTGTTAAAATAAATGACTCAACTTCGAAGTCACCCTGTATATATATATATATATATAGATAGATATATACAGGGTGACTTTGAAGTTGAGTCATTAATTTTCAGATAATGATTGTAGAAGGAAGATAAACCAAAATATGTGTGTAAAAATAAAAAAAAAATAAAAAAAATTTTTACCTTGTTTTATAAAGTATCCTCCCGACAAGTATTTCAGTGCGGACCTGTATTTGATCGTGAGGTCCCCTGTGAGGTCTTAAGTCACCTGATTCACGAGCCCGTTGTACTACATTAACAAAGGCACGAGGGGTTGGTTGCACTCGATTGGGAAACCGATCCGCATAAACATGTGCCATTTTTTATTTCGTTTGAGCCACGCAACAGACACCACTGTTCACACGCGTTACCGACTGACACTGACTGTATGTATACAACTGAATAAAATAATTGTAAAAACATCGTTCCAAATTCTTTCGCTTCTTTGTTTCCGATGCGATGAACCGATAAGGCGGATTATATCCGTTGTTGCCAAACACGAGCACATGATATTATTATTGAGACAAGGCGGTACTCAAACTTCCAAAAGGCTATAACTTTGTTACTTTAATTTTACCAGAAAAATGGTAAAGGAAAAAACATTTATTTTGATCAGATCTACTCACTGTTAAAATAAATGACTCAACTTCGAAGTTTATGAATGGATACAAGGTAATGATATTTGACAGTATTTGTTGTTTTCACTCAGTTTAATTCAATAAGGCTACCAGAAACATGGTCAAAGCGCCTTAAACCGGAAATGAACCTAGAAAAATTATTTTACACAATTTGAATCCAATTTCTTATAATAACATCGAGATACCGATTCTATAAAATATCACAGTAGCTGAAAATGGGCATAACAAAAGACGAGCACAATTTTTTCCTTAGCTAAAGTTGAAAATCGCCCCGTAACGAAATACTGGCATCTGGCTACTGGATGTCTCAAAGGCATTTGACAAGGTGTGGCACAAGGGCCTTCTCTACAAACTGATCCATACGGGCTTCCCCTTCTGGCTCCTAAAACTTTTGAAATCCTTTCACGAGGGTAGGAAATTTCGGATCAAAATTAATAACGTTCTGTCGACAACACGGCCCATCAAAGCCGGTATCCCTCAGGGTTCGGTTCTTGGACCAGTCCTTTATTCATTTTTTATTCATGACGTCCCTTGCCCCAGCAGCTGTCAAACCTATCTCTATGCTGATGACACTGCCCTGGTGGCCCAGTCGTGATCTGGGGATCTAGTTCACGACAGGTTGCAAAGTGCAGTGGACGAGGTATTGGAATAGGCGAATCGGTGGCTGATCAAAATTAATCATTCGAACACGCAGGCAATCTATTGTACTAAAAGACGTAGCGGCGCCCCGTCTGAGGTTTCAGTGAATGGAGCTCGGGTACCATGGGAAAGCTCTGCTAAGTATCTCGGTGTCACTCTTGACATTGGGATAACCTGGCAGAAGCACACTGAAGCGTTAAAAACTAAATTCCAAATCTCGTTTCGGCAACTCTACCCTATGCTATGTAGAACATCAAAATTAAGTTTGATCAACAAAGTTTGGCTATACAAGATGGTTATTAGACCAGCGATCACTTACCAAGTTCGTCTTGGTGTTTTCTAGCCAAAACGCATTTGCGTAGCCTGCAGGTATTGCAGAATAGAACCTTGCGTACAATCACTAACGCCCCATGGTATGTTTCCAACGAGACCCTTCACAGAGACCTTGACATCGCTTACCTAAGGGACTAGATCAAACAACAAGCGCAGCTACGTTACAGTCAAGCAGAATCGCATAACAACCCTTTGTTGCGCGAGTCAGTAGATTACACAGTCGAGCAAGTTCGCAAGCACAGAAGGCCGCGACTCGCACAGTGAACAAAATTAAATCGTGCGACTTTAGGTCCAACCCAAACTATAATTTTTCTTCAACAACCAATCCCAAAATTAATTTTAGGATCAATTTAAAATTGCCGAATACTAACTATCAATGCCAAGGCACCCCTCAAATTGATGCATTTCTTTTTTCTTTGCTCTCCCTCCTTCTTTCCTTCCTTCCTTTCTTCTGCCCTTCTTTCTCCCTGACTTTGTTTGGTATCTGGGCAACCAGACCTGACAGACCTACTGACTTACAAGACTTCAACCAAGAGCAAAGGTCCTACGGACCGCTCTGACAGACAATGACGAATAGTAGTTGAAAATCGATTTATTGACATATAGTGATCTCAGCCTAAGGTTTTCTTTTTTTTATATCGAAGCGTCCGCGCAGGCAGAAGCCTAAATGCCGGAACACCGCGGCTGCTAGGATGATCCCAAAGAAATTTTGTTAATACGATTTTTGAACTGCCTAAGGTTAGTAGAACTGGGAAAAGCTCCCTCTTGTAGATTGTTCCACAGTCTCGACACTCTCGAGACAAAGGAGCGGCCGTATCGCCCAGTTCTGGATGTATGAAGCTCGACACGGTTACGGTTAGGATGGGACGCCAAAGTTAGTCGGGTCTGTCTGGCAGGCACATCGCGCGGCGGCATCATGGAAGAGAGCTCTGAGGTGCAAAGCCCGTTGGTGTAGCGGTAGAAAAGAGCCAGATCGCCGACGGCCCGCTGGTGCTAAAGAGTTCCGAGACTGTCTTTAAAAGGTTTTCGACATGACTGGTGAATCTAAGTTTCAAATCGATTATTACACCAAGAATTTTAACCTTGTCAACCGAGTGCAGTCTTCGAGATCCAACTTTTAATTTCTTCTATTCTACGATCTGATCAAAAAAATAACAGTATTATTGGCAGCCTGTGGTTATTCGGGAAGTCATACACATCTAAATGCATATAATGGTTTTCCGTATGAAAAACATATTCCAAGAAGGCACCCATGCTGAAATGAAGTATTCATGTATCAATCAAATCCAAAAACAAATGAAAGGGGACCCTTTTGAGAGGCACTGCAAAATCTACCCTCGATTTTACGATTCATTATTCCTCTGAACTAAATTGAAATTGGTGGAAGCTTGAGACAATTACGAATTTGCGGCTTTGACACTATCTACGGCTCGAACAATGAATATCCAAGTTGAGCATTTAGGTTTTTCCTGGCATTATTTGAGTTGTGATTTTAAAATAAACTACACATTATCATTACCACTTTCTCTTCTCTACGATCTGCTATTTCAATTTGTCTTTGTCCTCAATATTTGATGTGGATGTCATATTTGATTTTTGTATAGGTTAATAGTTTTCAATTCTGATTTGATATTTTCAAACCTTAGTTATTCAATATAAGCTAATATTTTCATATCTAGCCTTGATGTCAGTTTATTACAGGTTTATCCTATTAAATCACCAATGCATCAGCTTCTAAGAAACATATTTGAAGGACATTTCGATAATTTGCGCATTTATTAATCATAATAAGCTCCACACGACACTTCAGTAGTAGATTAATGTTATTTTGGTGCAAGTTGTGTGCATCGATATGGCGGATATGAAATATGTTTAGGAAGCTGCAACTTCGTAGCGAACTTTTATTTACTTTTGAATGTTTTAGATATAGGAAATGATGCCGTTCAGCTTTCAATACCTACTAATAATATGAGAACATTGTTCATTCGATGAGTTAAGACCAACTATAATAATAATAATAATAATATTTATTCACTCAATGTACAAAGATAACAAACAATATGAGTAAATAAATATAAAATCAAAACAGGCCCAATAGAAGGCATCGCCTGTACATGGACCAATAAATTTAAGTTGAAACTGTAGAATGCAAATGACAAAAATTAGCTACAGTAGATTATGTATTTAGTTGATGTTCGTATTTATGAGTTTATGAATTTCAGTCCTAGATATAGAATGTAGCCACTTTTTTAAATTTCTTTTGAAACAATTTCCGAAACGTAAATCTTTTAAGTCTTTAGGTATAATTTCATAAAATTTAGGCGCTAAATAGAGATATGATCGCTGCATTATAGATTTATGCGGTTGAGGAACTACTGTGCCACGAATTTTGTACCTGGTATAATGATTATGTTTAATTTTTTGGTCGGTGTTTACAAATTTATGGTACTGAGTGATACTGTGTAAGAAATAAAGCTGTCTTATATCATACATTCGAACATCTGCGTATAATTTTTCGGTGGGATAAAGTTTCGGTTTTTTAAATATCATTTTTAGAATACTTTTTTGAAAAACATCTAAATTATAGATATGTGAGGAACATGCAGCTCCCCATGCTAATATACCATATGTGAGATGAGGCTCAATCAGTGCATGGTATAGTATAATGTTCGAAGATATTTTTCTGTCAATATATTCCCAAGGTATTTAATTTTGTAGGATACAAATCTAACTTTCTTTAAAATATAATTGACATGGATGTCCCATCGTAAGTGAGGATCCAAGACCACTCCAAGGTATTTTATGTTGGGCACTATTAATTTGCATTTTTTGATCATTAATATTGAAGGAGAAAATTGTGTAATTTGGCAGATATCTAGCATAAGATCCAAATGGTAAAAAATGTGTTTTAGAGTAGTTAATGCTTAATTTTCTACTGTTAAACCACCGAATAATTTTGATAAAATCATTTTCAATTACATTTTTCAGATCAGACCAGTCAGTGCCTCCATATAATATTGCAGTATCATCTGCAAAACTAGTTATTTTGCCAACACAATTAATTTGGAAAATATCATTTAAATATATATTGAATAACAGCGGACCTAAGACAGTTCCTTGTGGGACACCACACTTAATATACATTTCTTTACCAAATGATCCTGATATCTGCACAGATTGTGGGCGATTTGACAAATAACTTTCGATCAGTGAGTACGCGTTTCCTCTGAAACCAATTCTCTCCAATGCTTCTAATAATAATTTGTGATTAACTGTGTCGAAAGCTTTCTTTAAATCAACAAAAATGCAGATTGAAAGGATTCTGTTATCAATATTTTGATGTATTTGATTTACAATTTTAGTTATTGCGTCCGATGTAGCCTTCCCTTCTGTAAATCCATATTGATTTTCACTTAAAATTTTGAATTTTGTGAGGTATCGAATCATTCTAGTAGATAAAACTTTTTCAAAAACCTTTGCTACACTGGATATTATTGATATTGGTCTATAGTTGTTAACATCTGTTTTTGTTCCTGATTTATGTATCGGTATTATATTACCTTTTTTTTAAAATTGAGGGATATATGCCAGATTCATAGCATTTGTTGATTAGGTAAGTGAGTGGTTCTGTTATGTCCTCGGCTATAATTTTCAAATGCTCGCTTTTAATACCATCGAACCCAGGACTTTTTCGATTTTTTAAGGACATAACAGTGGTGTATACTTCACATTGCTCGACTTTATCCAAAATAAATGAGTTCAAAGTTTTTTTGGAGGCTGAGTATTTTGTACATTTGCTTGTATATTACTTGCTAAATTTTCGCCTATGTCAGTAAAGAATTGTACAAATTCATCGCATATCTGTTGAGTATTTTTTAATACTGTTCCCGATGTTGTATTTAACTCAGTGACACACTCTTTAACTTTTGTTTTCCCAGTAATCTCATCAATAGTTGTCCAAAGCCGCTTAGGATCATTTAAGTTATTATTCAATTTATTTAGGTCATGTTTTCGTTTGGTTTGCCTTACAAGCTCTATAAATTTATTTTTATATTGGTTGTAGCAGTCGGTATTCTCTGTAGTTGGCGTTAGTTTCATTACATTATATAGTCTTTCTTTTTCTATTGCCGATGTTATTAATCCTTTGGTAATCCAGGCATTTCTGCTTTTCTCTTTGTGACTAATTATTACTTTATTGGTACTAATATCTATTAGTTTTTTTATTTTCTCTATGAACAGTCCCGTTGCTTTGTCTATATTATTTATAGAGTATAATCGTTCCCAGGATTCTTGTTTGAGATTTGATATTAGTTTTGAATTGTCGACAAAAAATTTGTAATTTTCCTGGTTGTTACTAACGGTAGGGATGTTAGAATGTTTTTCATTTGAAGATATCAGTAAAATAGTGGAGAAGTGGTCAGTAATATCGCTTTCTAGGATTATTGGTATACAAGTAATTTTGTTGGATAGGTCTTTCACAAAGCAGTGATCTATACATGTGCCACTGATGAACCTTGTAGGTAGGTTTATATAGGACAGAAATCCGTTACTTGATAGGATATTCAAGTATTCATTTGTGATGGGATCATCGTCCAAAATATTTATATTGACATCTCCCAAGAAAATATGTTGCTTTAAATGAACTTTATTTTGATTTTGAAAAAAAAATTCGATATTCTTTAAAAACTCGTGGGGTTCTGAACATGGCGGCGATAAATTGCAGATACCTCAATTTTGTTATGGTTAATTTGGATCATTATGTTTAAAATTTTGATTCCATCGGTGAAAGTGAATGTATCATGATTATATTGCAGTTTATTTCTTACAAAAACTATCACCCCATCGTTTTGGTTATAAGTGCCAAAGTTATACAGCGTGTCATATCCCTGCTGATTGAAGCAAGAAATATCAGCCACTTGCCACGTTTCAGTTAAAACTATTAGATTAAAATTGTACCATATTTGGTCGAGTAGTATTTTTAAGTAATCAATGTTGTGTTTTATACTCCTTATGTTCATATTAAAAATTCGAAATTTTGCATCAGAATTTTGTGTACATAAATTAAGTTCATCGACGTTTTGTGCTATATTTGTTGCAATACTTGGAATTTGGAAATCATTAATGTATTTATTTACTGACATTTTTAGGTCCTCTTTAGGAGTACTACTTTTGATATATTAGTTCATGTTAATGATTATTTATTATAATTATCATATTTCATCATCAAAATAGTTGCTTGTCCATGAAAACTGAAAGAATGCTTGGCTGATGATACGAAGCTTAGAAAATTCTGTTTTTTTAAGAACTACTGTTTGGCAATAACAATGTATGACACATCATTCATTTTTGGAAACAGACTAAAAAATGAAGATGATGATTGGGATCAAGGGAGAAAACATCATATTGAAATTCTAATGATCCCACCTTGTATTGAGGAAGAGTGGCAATGTTAGTATGTAATTTATTTTGGAATTCCACCTCAAATAAGGCCAAGTTTCTTCATCTGTCTGCGTAACATTTCCAGTTTCTTAGTCCGCAAGTTTATCCCCATTTAACCGACTATGTACATCTAACTGGTGCAGGCACCAATCTTTGTCACCATGTATCTCAAATCGAAAGAATTTCTGGGCCTTGCGCCCATTGGAACATTTGATCAGTACAACATGAACTATTACCGTACGAATTGTCATGGTCAAATTTCATATGTTTTGTGCCTGGTACTTTAGTTTTTTTGAACTGGTTCGCTCGAGTGGCCACGACCACCTACATTCAAGTCACCCATCTCCATCGGTCTGATTAGTGATTAGTAGAGATCAGCACACACAATACGAAAGAAAAAACTACATATTTAATATTTTTGAATTAATTTTGATAAACAGGAAAAATGTTCAGGATTGAGATTCGTTTTTGTACGAGGGATGTCTTTTAGGTTTTGCATATAGAAACATAGTAGGTCGCGCGGATCGAACGTCAGTACTGAATCTTAACCTCACTCTTTAGTAAACTTAAATTCAAAGTTTCATAACAATACGTGCAGTGTTCTCACTACAGTGAAATGGAACTCAACCGAGGACATTTTCGCGCCATAATTTATTACAACTTTCAGAGACAATTATCGCAACAAGAATGCCTTGTTGAGTTACTGTCTGTTTTCGGCAAGAAGCGCCACATCTGTCGACAATTTCCCGTTGGTATGGAGAATTCAAGAATTCAAACATAGACGGGTGAGTCTTAGTGACGATCCCAGGTTGGGTGCACCTAAAACAGCAGTGCGCAAACTCATCACTGAAGATAGACATGTGACGTATCGCGAGATTGAGGCGTCCTTGAAGATCTCAAAGACCTCAATTCAAAAAATTTTACATGAAGAATTCGGAGTAAGATAATTAGTTTCTCGTTGGATACCCCACCTGTTGACTGAAGAGCAGAAAGCAGCCAGGGTTAATTGGTGTCAAAAAACGCTTGACCGTTTCAATTCCGGAAACTCAAAAAATGTGTACAGCATTGTTAGTGGCGATGAATCGTGGTTTTACTGTTATGAACCAGAAAATAAACGACAGTCGGCTGTTTGCGTGTTCCAAGGTGAAGAAAATCCAAAAAAGTCAACCGTTTTCAAAGTGTTTCGGAAAAGATGATCACGACATTCGTGTCAAAAGCGGGTCTTATTGCAACAATTAGTCTTAATGAGCTAATAATTGTTACTGAGGATTGGTATATCACCATTTGTTTGCCAAAAGTCATCACCGAGCTTCGAAAAATCAACCCCAAAAGAAGAGTCATCCTCCACCAAGACAATGCAAGCTCGCACCCAGCCCAAAAAACAAGGCAGTATTTAACGGAACAAAACGTGGAATTATTGGATCATCCTCCATATGGTCCCGATCTAAGTCCGAACGAGTGCTTTACTTTCCCGAAAATTAAAAACAGACTGCGTGGTCAAAGGTTCCAGTCACCAGAAGAAGCAGTTGACGCATTCAAAAATGCCGTTTTGGATCTGCCAGCAAACGAGTGGAATAAGTGCTTCGAAAATTGGTTCGAGCGCATGCAGATGTGTATTAATCTGGAGAATACTTCGAAAAACAATAAAGTCATTTAAAACTACCTACCGTGTTGTTTTATTTCCATATGCAAAACTTAAAAGACATCCCTCGTATGCGTGTTTTTTATGATCTGGTCAAAACACTTTTCAGGGAAGTTACACTACTTCGAGGAAGTGCCAACATAAGCCGTTTGACCCCATTTTTCTACAGTGCGCCCTCGTTGTATCTGCTTTAATTTAAATTGAAAAACTCAGGTAAACATGGCAGATAGTTGCATATTGCACTTGTTACGACACTCCTTCAAAACTGATGTCAAGAAGACTACGCGGTGACAAAAAAATACTTGATGGAGCAACAGACTGACATGCAGATCGAATGGCAGACAGATATAACAACAAATTAAATGATATGGACTGGCACTTTGAAAGAATTCCAAATCCTCTCAAGAACCTCTTGTTTTAAAGCAGCATTTTTTTGGCAATATGGAATTCAATCAAGTACATCTTATTACTCTCTCTTCCAATTGGCGGAGATGTATTGCAATCGCGGAAAGTTTCTAAACTGAGATTCTTATTGCTTTTTGTATCTTACGAGACATGTCTGCCAGTCGATAATAATTGATTCTTCTATAACTCGGAAGGTCTGCTAGGATTTTATGGTAAATTTGGCACAAGATGCCAAGAACGAAAATGCTCTGTAGATGATCAAAAAACTGAAGAAATCGCAACGTCTTCCGAATAATCTTTGTTGGTAGTGAAAAAAACATTATAGGTGTGACATTTAAGAAAAACAAAAATTTCTTTTTTTATATATTTGAACCTCTTGGGCACTTTAAGGCTAAGGCACTGTCAAAAAATCTCTGTGCTTGTTGTTAAAAGCTTGACCAAATATAGATATATCATGACGTGGGGAGAATTGAGAGAATGTACTGTTACTTCTTGTAGATTTCCTACATGACACGCTCCCCAGAATTATAACATCACTTACCTGTGAAGTATTTCAGAAGCTCCTTATTCGTATTCTCATCTACCGCAGTTATTTCGTAGGGGAAGTTATTTTCACTGTCTTCTTTGTCGTTTTCCGAGAATTTTGCCGTAGGTGCCATCGCTAGAGACTTTCGCGACCGACTGACGCCTTATCGGTGTCAACTTTCGTGAAAATATTAACAATCGCTCTTTTATGTATATATAAATGAAAACAATATTATAATAGCGTTCTTGACCGCCAAAGTCTTCTTGGCGTGCTTGTCGGTGAAAGTGATTACGAGGTGCCTGCGACAGTATCGACTGTCAATGAACGGTTTATTTGCATATATGAATGTCGATAAATTTAGTAGTAGACACGTACAGGCAGTGAATAAGGTCAGATATGATTTTTGCATGATATAAAGCCTACAAGAAATAATTATAGTAACAGTAGTGGGTACTTCTGTAACTCCTGAAACTAATACTTCGGTTGTTTCAATTCATCTCTATGCTGTACTGGTCTACAAATAAAATCATGCGGCAACTTCCTTTTTCCAGCCTTTCTGCTGACCCTGGCAGCGTGTATATAAATATAAATTGGAACAGGTAAAATAAAGCTTGAGCAATAAGACTTCGTGTTTGCCTCTCTGCTAAATGAAACCACATATATTTGATTCAATTTTTCACTGACATTTTAGCCACCACGGTACATACAACTGACAATGACGATGTATTTAACCTCCTGGAACTTTTGTAGAAACCTCTTTTCGAAAGCACGCGTGTTTGCCAAGTGTTTGAGGTGTTCGGATATTAATTAGAGATAAGATCATTGAGCTTACCACGGTTCTACAGTTTGTTTCTAAATGCAAAACAACCATCACTGTCCCCGTGAGAACTTATATATTTCATAAAATAGGCCATCCTCACATAAACAGGACTATTGTGCCCAACAGACAACTAGCTAGTTAAAGCATTTAACATTAAATTGGTAAAAATGAGACTGGAAAAGCATGCATTTGTACATAAAAAAATATGCAACTTTTTTCAAGCTTTACCTCCTACGCCACTGGCGGGGAAGTATTGTGATCGCGAAAATGAGATTTTGTATTTTTTTGGATTTTATACAGAGTGTTTCAAATTCGACCCTCACCATTGGGATCTGGGAAACACAGGAATGAGTGGATACAGCAAGTTAACCTAATAAGGAAAGATATCAGTGCATACACAGATTGCTCCAAGACCGAGATAGGTGTTGAAGCTGGTATCTTCGTGCCGAAGCTAAAGATTAAAAAATCTCTTAGCTTAGGAACCTGGGCATCGATCTTCCAGGCAGAGCTATCTGCTATAGAGCTGGGTGCCAGAATGATCGCAGAACGACAACTAAGACACAGAACTATAATTATTTTTTCAGATAGTCAAGCCGTACTTAAAGCACTTGACTCCACCTACTCGACATTCAAATTAGTGTGGAATTGCAAAGAAGCTCTCGTTGGCATAGGGGGGGGGGGAAATGAAGTTCGTTTTATATGGATACCAGGACACACAGGTCTAGAGGGAAACGAGACAGCTGAATCTGGCAAAGAGTGGGGCTAGAACACCCTTCATAGGGCCTGAGCCCGCAATTGTGATTGCATACAATACGGCTAAACAAATAATCTCTGCAGAGATGGGCAGAAAGATCAGTCAATCTTGACAAAGAAGGTAACAGACTCTTTGCTGCGACTGAACAAGAATAGCCTTAAAGCTCTAGTAGAACTGTACACTGGTCATTGCAAATTGCGTCACCACATGGGCATGGTGGAAGACACTGAGTGCAGACTGTGTATGCAGAGAGATGAAACGGTCAGGCATTGTATTGTGCAGATGCCCTGCAATTGCCAGAATCAGGTACAACATACTTGGAGACGTAGTACTCCAAGCAGAAGTCCAGAAGGACATTTCTCCAAACAATTTAGGCGACCTCCTCACGAGGTCGGAGCTACTGGGAAAAATATAAATAAGTGTGAGCCCCAATAGACCAAAGAGTCGCAGTGGAGGATCGTTATTGATGCACTCACAATAAACATAACCTAGCCTAACCTAAGAGATACGAATTCGCTTAAATGGGAGCAAAGTTGCGTGTTTAGGTAATCAACAAAATGCCGTTTAGGAAGTTCCTAAATTCAAAGTACTTCCGGAGAGAGACAAAAAACCGGATGTTCCAAAACCGTTTTAATTTTTTCCTTACTTTATTTGTAGTGGAATTTCAAAATAAGTTGGACATTAACATTGCTACCTTTTTTCCTCTACAAGATGGATTCCCAAATACGTCATAAATGGACATTGGTAATTAAAAAAAGCGGAATTTCTTGGGCAGGCCTTGAAATTATGTGCTAGTAATTTGTTTCGCATACCAGATTTATCCCAGAATCACTTTTATTTTTTCCGACTTTATTTGAGATGTGTTTTCAAAATTAATTGCATTTTGTTATATCTACTTTTTATTCTCTACAAGATGGATAAGCCAAATTTTCAATTCGACATTTGATCTTTCCAGTACCAACTTTGTTTTTTCATATGGCCACTGTATGGGAATTTTGCACAATTAAATGGACTTTTCAGTCCTAAATTCAGTGATGTCCTTAGTTCAGCATGCATTTGTTGTTGGAACGAAAACCATCGAAATAGAAAGGTTTGGTGAAACCTGATCACAACGTGAAAATGTTATTGATGGTAATAACAATAATAACCATAAATAAGCAGAGATAAATACCTAAAAGCCGATACTCAAAATGTTGTCCATTATTTTGTAGGCAAACTCTTTTCTGTACATTGTTCGCTGCCCGATGTATTTCTTTTCTTCTCAGTCTTCCAAAGTCTGTTGCTATGTTCAGTTTGAGGTCTGGTTTGGTACATGAAGCAAATGAAATCTGATAATTATGTTCCATCCTCGTCGAAGTAAATATTTATAATACATATCGTAGTACCCTCGTACCCAACCGCCACGATTTCAAAGCGCACACGTAGAGAAGGAAAGGGGCACCGCGTGCCCGACTGTTAACACGTTAATCGGCGCGCATCGTTTTACGTGCAGTGTAGTGTCGAGGATCCGCTGAACATTTAGAATTAGAAAATAGGACAGAATATTGGCGGATAGATGTACATTGTGGAACGAGATACCGACCGACGGTCGCCTCTAACCGATCTGTTTTAGGTGCAAGTTAAATGAATATTAGTATGGATGCTTCACCGGCGCTACAAATTGTGCCTAACATGACGTTCTGACACTGTTGCTTGGGATAGCAACCTGGACCTAGCTTCTGATAGCCAACTCCATACCTAGGACGAACAAAGGCGTTTGGGATATCGCTGAAACATTGGACTCGGTTGCTTGGGATAGCAATGTGGACCTGGCTTGGGATAGTCCACACCAAGGACGATGAAGATGTTTCGAAAAATGACCCAATACTGAACTTCGTTGCGCAAATAAGAACACTGAAAACGTTTGGGACAATGTATCAACAAGGTATGGTCAACAATCTTGTTTCATTTGCTTGTGATAGCAAATTTCATCTGGTTTGTGATGACCATGGAACAGTACTGAAAGTTTGAACATGGCAGGCTAGGAAGTTGTTAAGATATAATTTCTCCTTATTACGAGATAACGATTAGGTATTTTATGCGAGGTTAGCGTTACATTTTGCTTGTGACGGCAGATTTTATCTGGCTTGTGATAACCTTGGAACAGCATAATAAGAATGCACAAGACAGTTTAGGAAACCGCCTAAGCACCATTTTTCATTAATAGCAAATAGAGATTAGGTTCATATATGCGACTCTAGCGTTAAAATTTGTTTGAGATAGCAAATTCTATCTAGTTTGTAATAGAAATGTAGCAATATAGCATTCTTCATTTATAACAGATAATATTGAAGTTGGGATTTCTCAGTTTTTGAAAGTCTCGAGGTCACTCATGTGGCAACCACTTAAGTTTTACCGTATTTTACGCCCAAATATCTGTGCAGTCAGAGTATTTATTTGTCACTGTATAGTAACTTTATCATACATTTCGTACAATTTGTGTAGTTGTGTACAACCTATCGTTTACTATTGCAGAGCGTGAGTAGTATGTTGTTGCAACTAGCTTTGAACATCTACGATATGTATTATAAATATTTACTTCGACGAAGACGGAACATAATTACACGATCAAACGTACTCACCTGTAAGTGATGTTCGATCTTAATTATGTGAAGTCCTCGTCGAAGTAAATAGCTTCCTCCCTTCCTATGTATCACCCAATTGTTGCAACAACTTGGCTTTGAAGTAAATGAAGGTTTATAGACTGCCAGAGGGGAGATGGGTGGGGGGAAAGGGCGCGGTGCCGCTTTTCTTCTCTGCGTGTGCGCTTTGAAATCGTTGCAGTTGGGTATTACTACGAGGGTACTACGATATGTATTATAAATATTTACTACGACGAGGACTTCACATAATTAAGATCGAACTGGTAATCTCGTTTGATCATGTAATTTTAAGGCCTATCTAGGAACTTCCGTTTTTCTGGAATAACTAAGGTTAGGCAATCTCAATGTATGACATAATACATTCTTGAAATCAGAATTAAAAGCTCTGTTCATCTGTGCAAGAATATTATACTGCATCCATGAGAAAAAATAAAGTTCATGCAGGAGGACAAGAGACGAAACGTCATATTGAAATTCTAATTATGCCATCTTGTAGAGGAGAAAAATTGGCAATGTGGAAGGGCAATTTATATTGAAATCCCACCACAAATAAAGTCAGGAAAAAAATTAAAAAGATTTTGGGAAAATTCGGTTTTTGTCGTCTCTCCCCGTAAGTACTTTGAATTTCGATACTTTCTAAACGGCATTTTGTTGATTATCTGAATGCGCAACTTTTCCCCCACTTAAGCGACTTCGTAACTCTTACGACTTCCGAGATCCCAATGGTAAGAGTCGAATTTGCAACACCCTGTATATGTACCTCACGAAAAACCATGTCACTCATTTCCGTCGATAACTTAGGAGCTACCGTTCGGACGTTGATGAATTTTTCACACAAGGTTACAACTAATTTTTGCAATTTTTGAAAATCCAGTAGCGGCGGAGAAAAAGGCCAAAAACCATGGACGTTATTCGCCCTCTCTTCCCTGGTCGCCTTATTTCCAGGTTTGGCGACGTTCATTGGCCTCCTCGGTCCCCAGATTTATCCATATGCGATTTTTTCTTATGGGGACACCTCAAGGCTAGAATATACGCGAACAAGCCCCGAACGCTAGACGAATTGAAGGGCGAAATTCGCGTGGAAGTCGCCCAAGTTGAGAGAGCGATGTTGGAGAGAGTCTACGCGAACTTCCAAGAACGCCTCCAGCACTGCATCAACGATTTCGGCCACCACATGCCTGATGTGATTTTCCACACTTGTCTGTCTCAAATGCTATTTCCTTGTGAAGCTGATTCCATCAATAAATTTGTTTTTGAGTAAAAATTAACTATTTTATGAATATTTTAAAACCGTCTATTCTCTCTGCCGCACCCTGTACATCTCACGCAATTAAAGATCCTCCTAAACATTTCGACTGGCATTATTTAAAAAAATTATATAAGTGCTAAGAAATATTAGTAAGGCGGAAGCTAGCTTTCCTCACGCGACTGCAAATACACTATTTATTGTCAACTTTTTCACAAAGTAACCTCATCTTCAAAAGAACTAATACACCCACCTGTGCTTCCACTGCTCGAAACATTTTTTGAAGTCTTCCTTAGAAATGTTTGATAGCTCCTCCCTCGTTTTTTTCTTGACCTCTTCAATGTCGTCAAAGCGGCGTCCTTTGATGTCTCTTTTCTTCGGTGGAAATAAGAAAACAGCGCACGGAGCCAGGTCAGGCGGATAAGGTGCGTGGGGCAACGGATCCATGCCATTTTTAGCCCGAAGCTGTCGAACAGAGATGGCTGTGTGCGCAAGTGCATTATCGTGGTCTCCTGACTGCCTCAAATCGGGTCTTTTATGCCGATCACTGTTTCGCAATCGTCTAAAACCTCCAAATAGCACAAGCTTTCGAATTATTTCAACATTTTCGTCGATTCGGGCAGTTGATGGACGTCCAGAGCGAGGTTTGTCATCAATCATCATTTCGCCATTTTTAAATCGAGCAAACCACTCGTACACCTTAGTTTTTCCCATAGCGTCATCTTTGTAGGCTATATTCAACATTCAGCAGCATTTTTACCAATTAGAAAGCAAAATTTCACAGCTGCACGCTGCTCACTGAAGCTTGGCATCGTGAAAAACGAAACAAGCATGAAACAGCTCTAGCAAAAATAATTACTACATAGGAACGAAACCATGTACGTACGTATATATGCGCAAGGACAATATCACGCGAAAACTCATAAGTATCAAGTTAAAGTATTGCTGACAATATTATGTAATTTGCAAACCATTTAGTTTGCAGAACAATCACTAGTATTCATTCTCACGAGTTCTTTGTGCAATATTTCACCGTCCAGATATTAAGAACCTGCACAATGATTCTATACTAAGTGACATATAAATCCGAACACCCAGTTTAAATGGTTTTATTTTAATAAAATTTTGTATAAGTACTTAATGAAGCATAATAAGTAAATGATAAAATATGTGTGGATGCACCCTGATGTGCTACGCATCCTCCAACGCGCCTAGGCATGCTTCTGATCAGGTGGTCAATGTCCTCCTTTGGTATCTCATTCCAGGCAACCACCAACTCCTCTCGAAGTGCTTCTAGAGTCTGAGGAGGACGTTGCAAATTGAGCAATCTCCTACCCATCATATCTCACACGTGCTCAATTGGGGATAAGTCGGGAGATCTTGGTGGCCATGGTAACAATGTGACATCATTATGTTGAAAGAAGTCTATTGTGACTCTTGCAACATGTGGTCGGGCATTATCTTGTTGGAAAGTTGGATCTGCCAGGGTGTCAAGATAGGGTAAAAGATGGGGTTCTAGAACTTCGTGGATATAACGCTGCGCGTTCATGTTACCTCTGATGAAGATTAAAGGTGACCTGGAACCATAAGCTATAGCACCCCAAACCATAACTCCAACAGTGTGATGAACATGTCTTTCAACAAAAAACTGTGGATTCCTCCTTTCACCACGTCGCCTTCTAACCCTGGCACGACCATCGTGCATTCCTAAACAAAATCGAGACTCGTCACTAAAGACAATACTGTTCCATTCCTGATCCCAAAGTGACCGTTGTCTGCACCACTCAAGGCGATTACGTCGGTGTTCTCGAGTTAAAGGGAGTACCCAGTGTGGCCGGTATGAAAACAAGCCAAAACTTCTTATTCGTCGGTAAACACTTCGCATGCCAATAGGTCTTCCGTGTTCTGCAAACCATTCATTTGCAATGGACCTGGTAGTGGAGAAACGGTCCCTTAAGGTCAATAATCTTAGGCGGCGATCTTCACGGTCTGTTGTTCTACGGCGGCGTCCAGTGCCCGTTGCTCTTTGCGTACGGCCTTCTCGAAGCCATGCCTGTCAACACCTAACCACAGTGTGGTTCTTTGCACTCTAACTGCAATTGCCCGAAAAGAAAGTCCAGCTTCCCGAAGTCTCACTATACGGCCCCTATCAAACTCACTAAGTTGACGAAATCGTACAGGTCTCCGTACTCTAGGCATCGTAACCGATCGTAAAGGATGTCAAGAACCAAAATCCGCCAACGTTGATTCTTTACTGCGGCTGAAATATTCATTTTTAGAGCGTTAGTGAATTAAAAAAAAGCAGTATAAAGACCGGAATGTCCAACTGATAAGGCTGAAAATTTTTTCACTTGTTATTTACAGTAAGATAAATACATTCACCAACTTTTATTAAAATAAAACCATTTAAACTGGGTGTTCGGATTTATATGTCACTTATATATACTTATATTTTATTATTATATTTGTTGTAGACGTATTATTATGTACTTCGACTTGGAGACAACTTGTTACATGGTTCCTGACCAGTGGAGTGTTTCAAAGTTTTATGACCTGAATCACTATTGAAAGTGAAACGCTGCTTACTACGGAAATACCACATACAAAGCTAGCAAGTTATAAATTCTGTGATGATACTGTTATCATAACGCTAACTAGAGTGAGTAAAAATACTGAGTATCACAAAATGGCTGCATTAAAAAACAAATCCTTCTAATTTGCTACATTTATGTTTGTGCTACAATAAGCTGCGTCTTATTCATATGCGATGCGTTATATTTTAATTAAGTCTAGCCAAATCGATAATGTCATTGTTGCCATTGTACTGGGAAAAGGCTCCTGTGGTGGTCGGAAAGTTGCACAATAAGCAGGAGTTCAAACATATATGTGGGTTGATTTGTCTAGACAATGAAGTCCTATAAGAGTCACAGTTTCCACGAACTTAATGAGTTTCAATTGTTGAGATATTAACTACATAGAGAGCAGAATACAAAAATGGCTACAAGTAGATTAACTTTGTACTTTTCACACAATTATGGACAAATGGATATCGGATATGCATTATATAAATTATCTAAGGCAACATCTTTATTGTTCGCTGGGTATGAAAATCCTTGCACCCTGACATAAGGCCGTGGACTAGGATAAATATCAGTAAAGAAAAGTATTGTTGATTTGTAACAAAAATAAATTATGTACTTTTGAATGACCAACACTTTTTTGGTCAGTTCTTTTTATTCTGGATTCTAAATCCCATTTCAGAATTCCAATATTCGAGCACCCACTTTGTATTTAATATAGGATTTAAATACAAAGTGGGTACTCGAATATTGGAATTCTGAAATGGGATTTAGAATCCAGAATAAAGAGAACTGACCAAAAAAGTATTCAGTCAAATACCAAATACCAAACACACTCAAATAAGTCAATAAAGTCCAAAGAGTCAATAAAATCATGGAGGTGATATGTCCGTCTTTCATGCTTGTGATGTTTTCAGAATCAAAAATGATGAGAGTGCAAAAAACTTTTACTTAGATAACGTTTCGATTGATAAACAAAGGCTTTTTTATTTCCTAGATTTCTATTCCAAATTCCAAGTGGCGGTATTGACAGGATTGTCATTTTGCCCTTAAAAAACTAGTAACTGTCTGTTTTTTGAAATGATGAAATCTAGAATCATCATTTTGCCATTAAAAACCCAGGAACTGTTCGTTTTATGCAATTTTGAGGAAACTTATATAGTTATATATTTCCAACTTAAGTGAAAACAGTTTTATAGATATTTTTTAGACTTCTAAAAAATAATGCAGAAAGCATTGTTTACCGTTAGAAATTTTGAAGATAGCATAACCGTGCATTTCTCAAGGAATTACGTAATATTTCACTTTTGCAGCAAGAAAATACTTTCTTGTACTTTTCAATATTTTTGAGGTGCGCGCTGCTTCAAAAAATATTGTTGATAACATACATGGACCTAAAATTGTTATTTTCCTATTTTACAGTAAAGTTTATACTTATTTTTGAACGAGTCAAGTCAGCAAACTAAGGTGCAGAGTGGTAAAACTGCCTATGGAATACTATATTTAATATAAAAATAACAGCTGGGCGCCATTTGCCCTGAAATACAGGTTTCAAAGGTTTGCGGCTACCAACTACGAGCTTCAAAACCCATACACCTATTCTGTTTACATATCGAGATTTAATCCAAAGCTTCATAAAGATGATACCACAGTTATAAAACTACTATGACCTAGAGGCCTCCGGACCCCCTTGAGAAGCAACGATGAGAAGTAGTTATAAAACAAAGGCGACACAGTCAAAAATCAGGTTCTATCAACGCCAACTTGAGACCCATGCGTTTAGTGGGATTCGTGTTGCTATGACATTTAGGATTTGAGGGCTATGATTTATTGATTTCTATCAATACTATATATAAATATATAAATAGCTTTTCAAGAAATAATAATTATTATCTCGCCAAAATGCATGCGGGTAAATGAACACAAATAAATTTCTTGATTATGTTGTTTGACATATGACATTCGTGACGTCTTGCTAATAACGCGTATCAGCCCCCTAGTAAAAAATCGTCCCAGCGCTAATGAATATGACCGGGAAATGTGATAAGCAGTTGGGGACACGAATATCAAAGGGACCGACAGCAGGTGTCGCATCTGTATAATCTGTGATGATACAGTGTTTATATAATATACCAGCCCACACTACCTCAAAATTTAAAAAATGTTTCTATTACATAGCTCCCAGTATACTAAATGATTACCCAAGTTTCTTTAAATTAACGTCCATTCACAGCTTCAAAAGAGAATTCAAAAGAATGCTATTACAGTTACAATTTAATGAATCCACAAGTGGCTGAATAAATCTCATTATTAATCTTATTATATTTTAAAGTTTTGTTAGCATTATTATAGTCAACCAAATATCCTTTATGTAATGTATATGATATACCCTAGTAAGATATAGTAATGCACTTAATGAATTTACCTTAGCTATTCAGGCGGGGGCTAAAAATGGCTATGCCAATCCCCAGCCCTTTGGAGTATTATTTTGTTTTTGTGTTATATTATTTGCTCGTATTTTGATTCTATTATGTATTAATACTCCAATAAACATTATTATTATTATTATTATTATTATAGTTCTGTAGCTGGGATTAATGTTTTCGAAATACATTTCCCAGTAGGAAAGTTAGAAAATACAAGCTTAATGAAAAGAAAATATTCGCAAATTCAGTGGGTTCTATTTCTGAAATGTCATTCCGTCCAAATGTTTGCGATCCGTTTGGACACACTCTTTTTATCACGCGCGCAAATACTGAAACACTCTCTTGCAGAGTTCCAGAGTGATGTTGTTTATTTCTCGTCGAATGTTGTCTTTAAGCTCCTCCAGTGCTCGTGGATTATTGAATTACACTTTTGACTTTCGATAATCCCACAAAAAATAATCGCACGGTGTGAAGTCGTGTTACTAGAACGCCAGTGAATGTTCCCAAACTTCGATATAACTTTATGAGGAAAAAGTGCTTTCACCGTGTCCATCGATTCTCTGGAAGTATGGGCAGTGGCACATCCTGTTGAAACCATGTGTTTCTGTTAAATCGACGTTCTTTACTTACAATAGAAGTAAAGAAGTGTCGATCA